TTAGAGATATAGTTTGTAGATCATAAAGTGTATTTTTAGAAATTTTACTATAGAAATTTTACTATAGAAATGTATTTTTCTTAGTGCTGTATAGATTGTCATTTTGCTATAAAAATGTACTGTTGGTCATTTGATGATAAAAAAAAAATTACTGTTGAGTTTTGTTTGGGGATTCACTATTTACCCACAGCTGGGACCCTGCCTAGCAGGTGCTACCACACCGAGTCAGGGTGGACGTTGGAAACAAAAAAGCAATTAAGAGGTGGTTCCACGCTCCTCAAACCCTCCAATCTCCCGATCAGAGGCCTTGCTGCCGGATGTAGTTTATCGTCATACTCGGGACGTCACACCATACAAAGAGCTTTATCTATGTAAAATGTGTGTGATTTTAGATTGTTTTACTTTGTTTTGTTTTTGTTTTTGTTTTTTTTTACAACAAAATGATCAGTGGAAAATGTCATTACGCCATTTTTGACCTTAGGTCTCTGGTTAGGACCCGGAAGGAAATGAGTGTATACCAGAAATCAAAGGAAATAATAATAATAATAATAACTAGAAATTAGCAGACATACACACTGAAAAATTGTGTTCAGCCAAAATGCAAATGAAGGGCTTTATCTATGTAATTTTTTTTTTTTTTTTTTGTCAGTGGAAAGTGTCATGACGCCATTTCTAACCTTAGGTCCCTGGGCGGGACCCGGAAAGAAATGTGTAAACGCCAGAAATCAAAGAAAATAAAAAAAAAAATAATAATAATAGTTATTGAACATCATGGGACAGAGTTTGTTGATTAACAAACCCATATTTTGACAAGATGAACTCGAGTAGATATCTTGTAATAGATATTGTAATTTAGAAGTACAAGACTATTGACAGGGGCATAGAGTGTAAAAGACTTGAGGACAATACAATTGAGTCTAAACTGTCTGGTTCAGTAAGCAACTTTTTAACTAGATGAGCAATGGCTCTGCCCCTTTCGTCATCGCCATTAATTTAATTGAGTTGTTCTAATTGTAGACAGGCTGTAAACGAGAAAAACCGTGGCAAAATAGGTTGCTAGGATTGAACCCGTGCCAGTTGTTTTAATTATCCACATTTTTACATGATGAGGCAATTATTTAACGCATGATGAGTTTTTTTTAAAGTACAAGACTGATTACACTGGTCATGAAGTGTAAAAAGGTTTAGGCTCAGACAGCTGAAAGCAAACCAGCTGGTCTTTTAATCATCTTAAGCCATCATAGATTTTGAAAGAGCAAGACTGACCGCAAAGAACATAGGGTATAAAAAGACGATAAGTCGATCCGCAGCCAAATTTTTAAAGAAACATTTCTTGATAGGCCCTAACAATTCCTTAGATTCTTAGATGGGACCATATCCCGTTGAAACCCCGGTAATCGTACGATATCCAAAGTTAAGCAACGTCGAGACGGGTCAGTAACTAGATTGGATGATTGCTTGGGTTTGGTTTGGATTGGTTTATTTAGTTTTATGGCATATCAACCTCAATGGATTATTTAATACCGACAATATTTCTATTGCCGGCAATTTTTTTTTTTCAAAAATCTATTTCTGGTAATATTTTCCTCAAAAATGTATTGCTGGTAATATCTTTTTTTTTTTCCAAAAATGTATTGCTGGTAATAATTTTTTTTACAAAGTATTTCTGGTATTAAAACCTATTTTTACACTTTCATAGAGTTTTGACCCCAGTTTGGGGGGGTTAACTATTTGCCCTTGGCTGGGACCCTAACAGATGCTACCACCCCGGGTCAGAGTGAACCTGGAAACACCAGCCATTAAGAGGTGGTTCCACGCTCCTCAAAACCTCCTGATCAGAGGCGTTGCTGCTGGACGTAGTCTATCGTCTTACCCTGGACATAATGATTGATTGGGAATACCATGTTCTGTAAGCTTAGATATGCGGGTGGTATAATGGGTTTACGACCATATCACGTCGAAACACCGGTTGTTGTACGATTGTCAAAGTTAAGCAACGTCGAGACTGGTCAGTATCTAGATCGGTGACAGCTTAGGAATACCAGGTGCCGTAAACTTGGATGGTGTAATGGATAATGGATCAGTACTGAAAATCGGGGAGCCAGTCGGATTCGTTATATTCACTTACGAGCAAATACCCTGGAGAAAGTTATGAATTCACCTGTTCTACCCCAACTAAGGGTTAATTAGTAGGGCTTATAACAGCAAATCATTATTATCTCCCCCAAAAAGTTCTTACAATCTAAAAATATTTTTGGCTTTAAATAACTTGCAAAAGGTTGATAAATCGTAAAAATTAATCAATTCCAATATTAATCGTATTTGGTTGGTTGATTTTACACAAAGCGGGCTCCTACAGTAGAGCCAAACGGACATTTGTGTTTTTTATTCCCCCGAGGGATGTTCAGCTCAATTATTAAACTTCATTAATGCTATTCGTACTTAAGAGCATTAAAATATATTTTGACATTGCTAATTATATATCCTATTTATATAATCAGCAATGACAAAATATATTTTAATGCAATGTCAAAATATATTTTAATGCTCTTAAGTCTAGGCATACGGGTCTGCAGAGAAGAGCCACAATTCTCGAAAAAAGATAATTTAATTTTGTATTTAACTCATTTAGGCTTCTTTGTTGTTTTTTTTTTTGTGGTGGGAGAGGGTTCAGTACCTAAAATGGATTCACCATCACAAAAACATAAGAGCAGAGATCTAGATCATTACTTTCTGATAAATCCAAGAAAAATACATCAAAAATTGATATTCAGTACCTGGAATACGGTGCTAAAAAGCCAGTAATAATCAATTTAAAAAGAAGATAAGTACGTTTTAAATATCTTCCTTACAAACGTTTTTCATTCGTTTTGCAGATTTAAATTGTTTAAATATTTGATTTGTATTTATTTTCAATTTTTCTAGTTGAATTGTTCACCTACATTGCATATGATGCATTATTGTACGTAATTATTACGTATTATACTTAGTAATACGATAAGATTTGTCTTTTATACGAATACTACCTTATGAAAATTGAGATGTCGTAGGGCTAGGCTATATCATAGATTCTGGGTTGTGGGCACGAGATAATAAACTAAAGGAATCTGTTGAGAAGGCAACTGGAAACCATTTCAATGTCTCTCCCCAAAAGTCATGGCAATTCACAGATAAAAAAAGAAAAGGAGTCTGTGGAAAAGGCAACAGGAAAACACTCCACAATCTTTCTCAAGAAGTCATGATGATTCGCAGATAATAAAGAAAAGGAATCTGTTGAGAAGGCAACTGGAGACCATTTCAATGTCTTTTCCAAGAAGTCATGGCAATTCACAGATAAAAAAGAAAAGGAGTCTGTGGAGAAGGCAACAGGAAAACACTCCACTGTTTTTTCCTAAGAAGACATGGCAATTCACAGATAAAAAGGAGTCTATGGAGAAGGCAACAGGAAAACACACCACTGTTTTTTCCTAAGAAGACATGGCAATTCACAGATAAAAATGAGTCTATGGAGAAGGCAACTGGAAACCATATCACTGTCAAGACTGCTAACTGGGGGCATAGACATTTCTAGCTGAAGTACACATATCTGCAGAAAAAAAATGCCAAGAATAGTTCGCATGACAATGTATGCTTGGCAAAACGTTAGACTACTTTAATTATTTCCGGAACCTGTTACGTGTCCATGATGTAACTTGCTAACGCCCCAAACAGGAACTCTTCAGTTTATTCATTCGGCCGTAAGACGTCAATCACCCGATTCTCCATACATAGAAGACAAAGATTTTATGGCGTATCAACGTTTTCTGGGTTATTTTGGCCGAATCTTGTCGTTTTGACAAACAATAACGAATTCGAGAAGCGACAGGACGTCATAAGGTGATCTGTTCTTTTGCTATTTTGTTGAACTCATAATCGCACCAGCGAACCACATGTAGTTAGCTAACTACCCTGCTTCGGGTTTGATCACACAATTCCGAGGATGAAAACGAACTGGGAATATGAATCCATGTCTTTCCAGACTTTGTTATCCATGAACCCATATACATTTGTCTTTTCTTGGGTATGTCTCTCTAGAATATTTCAAGGTAAGTCCGAGGACTGCTTTCTTAGGGTATGTAGTGTGCTATGGAGAACGTCAGGTGACGAGTTCCCTAGACCATTAGAATCGTAGGTGTATCCCATGTTGTGTAGTCATGGCAATGATAGCTTACCTAGTGTAAGATTGCCTAGCGGACCCCATCACTTTTCAGAGTGGTTCTGATTTCAAAGTTTTTAAACTGATTACCAATTGAATGCCAAAGAGCCCAGTCAGTCTTGCTATTTAACCCATAGCTGGCGGAGAGACGAGATATATTGATACCTTTTCAAATGAACGTAATACGGTTTTTGATTGATTGATTTTTAACCTACGCTCTGTGCAAGTCTTTTCTTTAATATGATCTCTCGAACTTTCTGGCCGGTAGACGAAAATAAATATACTGTTTAATAAATAAACGGGGCGTCTATTCAAATACGAGTATCACTAAAAATGACGTTTAAAGTGATAAAGATCTGTCGGTAATCAAACAGATCTTTATCACGTTAAGACAAAGATTCATATTTTTAATTCGTTTTCATCGTCAGAATTGTGTGTTCAAACCCGGAGCAGGGTAGTTAGCTAACAAAATGTGATACTTTGGTCCAAGTGTGAGTTCATCAAAATATTTTTAAAAAAATCAATTCTAAAAGATTGATTTGTTATTTACGTCCTTTCAACCTTCTGCAGATTATTTAATGCTGGAACATATTTTTGGATTGTAACATTTTTTGTTTTAGATAATAATGATTTTCTCAAAGAAGACTTACTATTTAAACCATAGATGGAGGAGAAAAGGTGGAATCATACCTTCCCCTAGAGTATTTGCACGAAAGTGAATATAACGAACCCGATTGGAATTCGATCTCGGTTATCCGATTTCTCATTCCGAGCCCTTATCCATTGCGCCATAGGCATATCCAAACTTGCAGCACATGTTATTCCTAAGAGGTTACCCATCTAGCTACTGACCAGGCTCGATATTGCTTAACTTCGGTAATCGGACGTGAACCGGAGTTTCAACGTGATGTGACCGTAAGCCTGAACGTAATACGAACTCGGATCTCTGCTTTCTTTTTGAGAATCGCTAACCGATACACTACTCAAACATCCGGTGTACTGAAGACAGAGGCTAATTAACAGTGTGTGAAAACAGATAAAAAGGCCATATTTATAGAGTCTGCAAATCACCCAAATGAGAAGTGTGTGTGTGAGATAGATAGATAGATAGAAAGAGAGAGAGAGAGAGAGAGAGAGAGAGAGAGAGAGACACCACGATAGGCTGCGACAATCTATATATAAAATTCTGTGACTTCCGTTAGTCCGTCGGTCACACCCTCTAAAATAGCCACACGTTGACAGATCAAAACCAAATTTAGGGAAGATTTGCAAACAGGTATGGGGGTACAAAAGAGCAGTTAGTTTTACTAGAGTGCGTACCATAAATTTTCATTCACTTTTTTTGACAAATTAAAAGTTTTAATATGTAATATACAAAATACTCCCACTATTTTAAAAACAATTTAATGATTAAAACAACAAATGTTTATTTTTAAAAATGCAATATTGTTTTTTGCATATCTTCTCTTTAAGTTTTCATACATACAAGCATCTAGTTTCCAGTACACTCTGCGTTTGCGAGAACTATAAACAAATTACAAAGCCAAACTCTTCAAAAAGTTGGAATTCGTCAACAAAAAGAAGTATTTACACATGGCCAGTTGTATGTTGCATGCTCAAGAGTAAAAAATCCTAAGAATTTATTCTTCGCTGTTAAAAAGAAAAAAAAAATTTTCTTAAAGAATATTGTTTACCATGAAATTCTATAAAATTAAATTAAATTAAAGAAATTATATAAACTGTGAAGTAGAGTTTTTTTTTGTCTAAGTATTTTTGCAAACAAATTCAAATTTCATCGATTGGTTTGTGAATTTGAATGAAATGTAGAGTTTGTAAATCTCGACAAAAAATGTTAGCGATAATTTCAAAAATGCTAAATACTGCAAAAACCGCAAAAAAACAAAAACAAAAACAAAACAAAACAAAAAAAAAAAACACCGGTAAAAATGAAAGTAGGAAGGCAACATTGTATGCGCCAACCCGACCACACACAAAAAGACTGGCTAAATTTTCTCTCTCAACAAACCAGGCTTTTCATTCCGGAATAGTAATTTGTGTTTGAAAACAAGGATTTTCTTTGTTAACTCAAAGACCAAACGCGTGTTGTTATACGAGGTGGTAAATCGGTTTATCAATTAACAATAGAAAGCTAACTCACCACTTTCAGTCCAACAGAATCTTATATTAATGCTTAGAGGAGGTGCTGACAATTTTGGGGTCCTACTAAGAACGTATTTGAAAAATGAAAATCATTTTTGAATCTCTTCTAATGTTTCAGATTTTAGTAAGTAGGGCGTTCTTAGAATTTTTCAATGTTTCCTCAAAGTATCAGTATAAGATTATTTTCACCTCAAGCAAGGTTGGAATGGCACTAGTACGAAAGTGAGAGAAAAGACTGAGTATAAAGATCATTGTTTTTTTTGGGGTGAGAAACAGACAGACAAATATGCTCACAATAAAACGGAGCATCAAAAAGACAGTTTTTCCCATGACACCGCTATTATTTTAACTACCTTCAGACTTCGTTAATGTTTATTGTTTTAAAAAGCAATGATTAGAATTGTAATAAAACTAACATAGGAAAAGTGAATTTATACATGTTTTTTGTTCTTTAAGAATTTACAACAAAAATAATAAAAACTATTTATTGATTAGAGTGTGTATTTGCATTATACATTATTTATTGGAATCGTTAGCAAAACATCGGCTAATTGCAAACTGATCTGAACTTTTTTTAATCATTTCATCCCAAGCAAGGTGGAAATGCCACTAGTATGCAGGGGATGACAGGGAGTGAAAATGAGAGAAAAGACTGAGTATAGGGAGGATTGCGGAAAGGACAAAAGATGAATGGGATTCAAGAAGAAGATGGCGATAGACTTTGCATTTAGTTTTTAAAGATTTTAGTCATCACGGAAGCAACTATACGGAAGGAAGTTTCACAGGCGGGAAATGCGGGAAAAGCGGGAAAAGAATCTTTTAGTGTAGAAGTGGCCGTTGAATTTAGCCATTTCAGCAGTAAAAGGGTGGAGCCTAAATTTACTGAACAGACTGAGGAAACAAGATTTCTATTGTTTACCATCATTATCATCAGTCCCATGATCAGGTGTTCTCCTAGGGTCGTTGTGAAGCTGAGCACCAGAGAAGACCCCGCCACATATTTTGAACAATAAGATCTGGGAGGTCAAACCATAGCCGATGTCCGGTGTGCTCCTAGGGTCGTTGTGAAACTGAGCACCAGAGAAGACCCCGCCACATATTTTGAACAATTAGATCTGGGAGGTCAAACCATAGCCGATGTCCTCCAACTTGAAGGCACGCCTTCGTCAAGGACACTTGGCGGGTGATCATATGGAGAGAACTCTCTGCTTTGGTCGTTGAATTCAGTCTAGGAAGTCCTCCGTCCAACGACCTCGTATTATTACCAAACTGACTTCATACAAATCTATGGAGGCCAGTCTATCGCATTGTGTTAGATAGCCGTTAACTCTACAATAATGTCCATTCGCCTTTTGATAGCTACAGTCCTTACCAGAAGTACACATAAAGTGACCTCGCAGTTCTTGTTATGAAGTAAAAAACTGATCCTCTCAGAATTAGCCCATACTGAAAAGTTCTCGGCTCGGGTCAAGATCTTTTTGCACCTCCTCGGAGTAATAATATTTCCTAATGGACAAAAAGTAAGGTATCAGTTTTATATTGCCATCAAGTAATAAAATGGTCCTCCACATTTACAAGTCTACTATTCGTTCATGCAATGAATATTGCTGTCACATCTCATCTGGTGTTTCTGTTAAGTATTCTTAGAGATAATGCAAAGAAGAATCTGCAATATTATTGGTCCTGACTTGGCATCTCGGTTTCGATCACTTTTCCCACCGGCGTAAATTTTCCCTGTACCTTTTCTATAAATATTTTTTATGGTAATTGGTCTGATGTATATTCTCCTGTTACCTAGACTTTATGAATTTAAGCGCAGTACTCGATTGGCGGCAAAGTCACATCATTTTACACCGGAAGTTAACATTTTTTTTCTCTCGCAGTTCTCACATCCGGTTTTTTACTTCCTAATCGAGTTGATCTTCAAAATTTTAAATGCAATGTCAATCGTTATCTTCTGGCTTCTTAATTCCTATTCTTTTATTGTTCTCTCTCCTTAATAGTATTTTTTCTCATATTCTCTAACACTCGGTAACCCCATTTCATTTTAGTGGCTTTATTGCCTTGCTTGAGATGAAATGATTTAAAAAATATTAAAGTAAATTATCTTGCTTGTGGAACTCTCTTCCGGCTTCTTGCTTGCCATTTAACTTTGGTCTTCAAAAATTTAAATACAATGCGAATCGTTATCTTCTGTCTTCTTAATTCCTGTTCTTTTATTGTTCTCTCTCCTTAATGGTTTTCTTTTTGATATTCTCTCACACTCAGTAACAGTTTACGTCTTAGTGGCTTTGTTGCCTTGATTGAAGTAAAATGGCTTTTTTTTTAAAAAAAGTGGATCTGGCGCAGAACCTTTCAGTACGCTATACGTCGTGCTCACATTTACTGTTCTAATAAACGTGTAAAAAGTCTGCAAAACGGTGTAAAAAGGGTCCCAGCTGTAACGCAACGTTTTTCGCCCACTGACCTCTTCTTGGCTGTATCCCTTCCGTTGTACATTCTGTATATTTTTCGGTGAATATGAAACAGAACGCATACCTCAACCAGTAACTCCGATCTATTTTCGCATGAACGCTTACAGAGAATGCAAACTATTCAATATGCTGGCGTGGTAACATAGACGCCATTCTTTTTACACGTCGTTCAGAAGCCAATATGATAAAACCAAAAATGAGAAAGAAATTTTCAGAAATGCTATAACTAATTGAAGTGGAAAGGGTATAAAAGCTTATAACTAACATAAAGTCACATCTCGAAAATGCAATTATCGATTTTTGCCAAAATATCAACGCATGTACGATACGCCCTGTCCGTATGTCATAAATAATAGACTATTCCGTTCTGATCGCGAGGAAAGACGGAAAATATACAGTGGAACTCCAGTTCACGAATTTAATTTGTTCCTGAAGGTCGTTCGTAACCCGAAATGTTCGTAAACCGAAACTATTTTCCCAATAGGAATCAATATAGAGAAAAAAAAAGTCACAGTACAATAAAACTGGAAAAGAAAAGCATGGCACAACACACGAGTTTCCAAGGCCATCTGAATGGGGGTAATTTGGGTTTCATTTTTGTAATTCACTTATATACTCTATAATAAATATATTGAGCTCTCTTTTGTGGATCAGTTTTAATATATATATATATATATATATATATATATATATATATATATATATATATATATATATATACAGAGAGAGAGAGAGAGAGAGAGAGAGAGAGAGAGAGAGAGGGGGTAAAATCCGTGAGTAAGTAATCCAATTAGATCCTATTAATATAAAATATTAAAACTGATCCACAAAAGAGAGCTCAATATATTTATTATAGAGCATATAATTGAATTACAAAAATGAAACACATATATATAAGTAAATATAGATAAAACTCTGATCAACCAATCGAATATGACTTACGATAAATTTAAACAAAGCAAAACAGAAAACAATTATAAATGATTATCTTTAGAAATGTGTCATAGCCAAGATTTGACATCTAATACCAGCCAGACATTAACTTAAAGACTGATACAAATGGTTACAATAAATATATACACCAACTTTCATATGTAAGAAAAGCTGTGAAGGAGCAGGGAGGTAATTTAACTGAATGCCCAACTGCAGTGGAACCTCGGCTCACAAATTTAATTCGTTCCTGAAGGCCGTTCGTAAACCGAAAAGTTCGTAAACCGAAAAGTTCGTAAACCGAAACTATTTTTTCCAATAGGAATTAATGTAGAGAAAAAAATGTCACAGTACAATAAAATTGGAAAAGAAAAACACGCCACAACACTCGAATGTATACAACAGGGCGGTCGGGGTACCTCAATGCGGTGTAATGTTTAGCAGGCTTGTCTCGCTAGAACAATTACGACTGAGTGGTGATTTCGATCCTCACTGGGTGCCCCATACTTTGGTCTTGTGCCAAATCTAAGCAACGCTTAGAAAATCAATACAACGCGACTCAGAAATGATTCCGTTCCGGTTAACTCGGTTTGGCAAT